CACACACACACACACACACACACACACACACACACACCCACGCACTCACACACACACACGCTCACACACACAGAAAGAGAGAGAGAGACACACGCACACAAGCTCACACACACACACACAAACACAGACACTCACACATACACACACACACAGAAAGAGAGAGAGACTTACACACACACACAGAAAGAGAGAGAGACAATAAACACTCACACTCACACACACAGACACACACACACAGACACACACACACACACTGAAAATGATATTTTGAATATATGTGAATATATAGTGAATGTTGGTGATATTACACATTTGATTTGTCAGAATAAGATGGACTGATTCTTGAACCTGCATTCTCAGCTGTTTCTCGTGCATCTGACCTTTCCAAATGTCATTTTTCTGCTTTGCTTATTGGTGTTGTGAATAAATGATGAAATGCATCCGAGACGCTAAACTCTGTTCAGAGCGTTTCCATCACGTTTGCTCCGTCTTTGCAGTTTGTCCCCTGTAATGCGTGCGTGCGTTCTGTTTTTATCTGACTTACTTCCATTTGCATTTAATCATTTAGCGAGCATTCGGCTGTCAGGTCTGAACAGTCAAGGACGAGCTTCACAGAGGAACATGCAAACATCTGAGACGACCTTTCATTCTTCTGAAACATTCAGAGTGTCTGTCATTGAACAATACGGCGACGAGCCACCCGAGGCTGGGCATGTACTGTGCTAAAATCATGTTATGAAACAGCAGCAATATTCAGGTGAATTAATGAAGACGATGTTTGACGGATAGCTGCATTTATTAATCTGGTAACACTTGAAGCCTTTATATTTAATGCATTATAAAAGTATTTTAATGCATTTATTAATGCACCTTATAATGCATTCAGTTATCCCATAAATAATTGTTGGTATAATGTATTATAAGACTTATCTATTTATTATTACATCCTCAGAATGTGCAATGCATTAAAACACATGACAAGCAACCAGATTTAACTGATTTTAGACTGAGGAATCTGCAAATATTATAATTCATTTTAACTTTGGTTAAAATTATTTAAAGATATAATGCATTATAACATACATTTAAGAATTATGCATAACTTGAATTTAATGCATTATACTGTACGAAAAGGCTTGAAGTAAAGTGTTTTTTATAATCAGAATGACCTGTTCGTCCTGGGTCATCAAAACAACTAATTTGAATTTGAATCTTCAAAAAAAGAGCTTCCCGCTGCATGTAAAAGGGTTGAATTAAGAGTCTGAATGTGTTTTATAGCCTGGCGTCTGTTAAAGTCTGTTAAAGTCCTCTGGCCTTGAGACAAACAGCTTATTAGTGACTGTGTTGTTGATATCGGCGCGTCTCGTCTGTCTAGACTGTGTGTTTGCTTTGCTCAAATAATGTTGGTCTTTGACGGTCACTTCACATATTTGTCTTCAGATGTCAGGAGCAGTAAAACATTTTCAGACTCATTGAACGCTTTGTGAAAGCAGATTCTTCAGAAAGATGATTTAGTGCTGGTTGACCAGCATAGTGATTCTGGTAAAGATGGTTTAAGCAAATTGACTAAATTTACTGATTCTTATAAACTCAAAAATGAACAACAAAAAGTTTTCCCAAGTTTTTTCTCAAATCTTGCAGGCCTAAAAGGATTTCACACTTTACAAACAGTGCAAAAATGGCCTTTTCAGCTGTTTTTATTTATTTATTTGCAGATGAACAAACCAAAAGAACTCATTAAATGGTAATTTCCCCGCAAAAAATATAGCTATTCAAGTCATCTGGAGAAATTTCTGGTGAAATGTTGCAGAAAATCAAACTATCACAATGTCAGTTTTTACCAATATCATGCAGCCATACTACTATTAGATACTAATATTACATACTAATATAATACATATGATGCATGAAGCAGTTACATATATATCAACACTATGACAAACCTGAGAGGTGTGTGTGTGTG